AGGAGTGGAATTCTCCAAAACTAGTATAACCCAATAACACAAGTTGATCAAAGTGTAGATTGGACTGGACCTCCCTTAAGCTTAACTTCGAAATTACACAATTTTCAGAATATTAAGTTTATTTATTGACCACTTGTGATTTTTCATTATACAAACATGATATCTACCAAAACAATTTCAGGACAAAGAAGAAAATAAAGAATAATCTAAATTAATGTTCTAGGTATCAAGAAAATCAAGTATTTATGGAATTGACAGATCTTTATACATGTTATTTATGTCTGGGTTAAAATCACCAGTTTCTTAATTATCAGCTGTGTGGGTATGCATGGTATCATACTTCATTACCTGGGATCTGTATGATGTCCTCCCTGTTAATCGATATGACCCTAGCATGTGTTGGAGTCGATTGTATGCACGTGCAGTGAGTTGGGGTGAAGTTGGAAGGCATGAGTTCTGTAAATAATCCCCTTAACATGGGTCCAGTGCTCTGGGTTACTTGTACCATCCTGGAGGAACCATTCCAGATTCACTGGCCCTCGGTGTAATCCAAAATTAGAGAAATTGACAAAACTGATACAATATTAACAATATATTTTACCATTAAATTATAAACAAATGTTCACTTCGCTGAAATTAAAAAAAAAAGAAGAAGAAACAAGTAAAAATAGTGTGTATATATATATATATATTTGAAAAAAATTAAGAATGACATATGCATAGCAATGCAGAAAGGTACACAAAAACCATACATAAGTAACCAACAAGTACTGAGTCAATCTTATATTGTGACATATATTAATATCTCAGCAACTCAGGAAGGTAGGAGATTCTCTGTTTATAGTTTGTGCTTCTAATTGGGTGGATACTCTGAAAGCCAAAAAGAGATGAAAGGATATGTATATGGGAGAGTTCAGAATGCAAGGTGCATTACATGACACAAAGAAGTGAAAATTGAGAATGTATTTTCAAATTTCCTTTTGAAAGTAAGAAATTAATACTTAGATATTATAAAGTTTTGAATTATAAACTATGTTTTGTTGCCAAGTTTATTGACATACATTTATAAAAGTTGATTAATTATATTTTAAATGAAACTTGAGAAAAAAATCACAATGTGCACTTTGACCTACCTGTATGGATAGGATTAATATCATCCTGACTACGGGTAAGTGTGATGTAATGGTTAGTCAGTCTTTGATTTCATCCATACTACAAGTAAGTCAAATATTGTAGTATGGCTGGTTTACTGTTGAGATGAAAAAGAAAAATATTTAGATTGTGAAGTAGAAAACTTTTCTTTTTTTTTTTAATAGAGTAAAATACACACCTGAAACAGATATTCTTTGTCATGCCTTTGATGGGTCTCCTAGAAAGCCTCGGCGTCTGCAAGCCCTGGAACACGAAGCTCGACAGTACAGATTGAAGCCACCAGAGGTCATAAACTTTTTTTTTTTATTTTAGAATGAAAAAAAAAACATTCATTATGATTACATTAGAAACATATGAGCCTTCTCCATTCCTCCGGTGGATTATAATGCTAAACATCAGGGTTTGATCCCCATGTATAGTATCAGTAGCCTAAGAGAAAACAATAATATACAGATAGTATTTAAAATGAGTTGAATTATATCCTATACTATAGTAATGTGTCAGTATATGTTGAATTATTATATGGCTTAAATATTTTTATTGATTATCAGAAGACAGGTGCAAGTATTTCACTGGTTTGTACAGTGTGGCGCCACCTGTTACTGTATTGTGGAACCTTTTTGGAAAGTTGATATTTTAGAATCATGCAAATAAACTTTATCTTTCTGGTCACAAATCACACGTTTATTACCAAATTATAGGAAGTTAACTTACAGTGGTATAACAATTAGGTATTTGAATTGACCAATCACACTTAAATCAAGACAAGCAACATACTGTTTATTCTTCTGGTGGCATGTTTGTCATCCTGTCATTTTTTTTTATACGACTTATTTTTCACTATTTTCAAATGCAGAACCAATTTGCAAAATTATGGAAAATCTATGTAAACTAATCAAGATACACAGGATATTCTCGTTAATACCCAGTTTTACATCTGGATCAGAACACTTAGCTGAAAAGAGGTTATAATTTCATTGTACAGGTCACTGGTTAGGCCACATTTGGAATATTGTGTTCAGTCTTGGGCTCCTTACCTTAGATGTTGAATTGTTGGAAAGGGTTCAGAGAAGGGTTCTAGAATGGTGCCTGGGATAGAGGGGTTGTCATATGAGGAGAGGTTGAAATCTCTCAAATTGTTTTCTCTTGAAAAAAGAAGAGTTAAGGAGGATCTGATTGAGGTGTTTAAGATTGTAAAGGAAATTTATATTGTTGATGCAACATCTATTTTCATACTTAATGGTAAGAATAGTAGGACTAGAGAACACAAATATATATTTTGGCAAGGTAGGAGTCATCTTCAGCTAAGACAGTTTTATTTTTCTAACAAGGTGGTTGGCCTCTGGAATGGGTTGCCTTTGGATGATGTGGAGGCAGTAAATTTTAAGTGAATTTAAGAGAAAGCTTGATAAGTATATGAATGATAAGGGCTGGCTTTAAGATTTTTAAAAAATGTATTTATTAATAGTTTAGTTTAGAGGATGGAACAGGCAAGATGGACCAATAGGTCCCATGTTGTCACGAAACGTTACGTTATGTTAAAACTAACAGTTGTTGGTTGTCTCTGATTGTAACATATTTACTGTAATTCTTCCTTGAAATTTACTACTTTTTTGGAAAGTAGTAAGGTAATTTTTTCTATTGTTTTTTATAATAACAAATATCCATGCAGAAAATAAAATGGTCTATATATATATATATATATGTTCTAAAACATCTTCATGACACTTATTGGATAGGTACTAATAATGATTAACTATTTTTTAGCTGTTAAATATTGCATAGAATAACAATAAACCTTTTGAATCTGTCTCAAGTTATATATTTCTTTCACAGCAACCAACATGGGAAGGTGGTACCCCTGATCCCTCCCCACCCATCACTAAACCAGGGACTACCAACATCCCTCCTCATGATTCAAAGCTGATTCAAGATTTCCTAAATGGAGATTATTGCTTATATGGGGTAAATAGACTTATTAAATTCTTTTTTGATAACAACGATTGTGTGGTTTCAGCAACTTTTTCCATTCTGGTAGCTGTGGTAAATATATTGTCATCATTATAGTAGTTGTATCCTTTCTGTTATCTTAGATAAGCATATTATTAATGTAATAGCAATTGTCTCCATTCTGGTAGCTGTGGTAAATATATTGTTATCGTTATAGTAGTTGTATCCTTTCTGTTATCTTAGATAAGCATATTATTAATGTAATAGCAATTGTCTCCATTTTGGTAGCTGTGGTAAATATATTGTTATCGTTATAGTATAC